CCCCTTGAGTCGGTTTTTCGGCCGCAAACCAGAGAACGGTGCGTATTTCAGCGGCGCCTCAAACTTAAATCTGTTTCGCTTTTTTTTTTTTTTTTTTTTTAACTAAAACTAAGGCGCCAAGTCAAAAATCGTTTACGGATCCTTATTAATTGTGCAACTCCAAAGCGGCAGTTCTCGAGTAATTGTAGCTCTCGGCATACAATGGATCTCTTGACTCGTGTCTGCCGAGTTAAGTTATTTAACGCGTAAATATTCATTATTGGACCTACTGACTCGTTGGACCTTTTGACTCGTTGGACCTATTGACTCGCCGTGGATCTTTTGACTCGTTGGATCTCTTGGCTCGTTGGATCTCTTGACCCACCTTGGATCTTTTGACTCGGGTCTGGCGAGTCAAAAGATCCAACGAGTCAAGAGATCCATTATTGGACCTTTTGACTCGTTGGATCTTTTGACTCGTTGGATCCCTTGACCAGAAGCGAGCAGGCACCGTGCATGCTGCATTGTTCATACAAGCCGGGGTGGTAACAAAAGTTCGTGTTCCCCCTCACCGGAGAACACGAACTCCAGCCGAACGCTGACGTCGCGTTCGGTTATGTCGGCCGAGCGCTGAGTCATTGTATTTGTTGTCCCCATCCGTGTAGCTCTAAAGTTAACCGCTTGGGGCGTCACGGTCGGTCAGTCCTCCTCCCAAATAGCTGCTCTCTAGTTTCGCATATTAGAAAGATTTATTAACGTCTTTCATTTTTATGGCTAAATCTGTGAGTTTTAGTAAGAATACAAGTCTTATTCAACTACATATCGAAAATAAGACTTCAGACAGTGTGTTGTTAGTGGCTTCAATTAATTATAGGTGGCGCCACTCGTTTTTTAAAATGTCGAGTATTGGAAGGGTCAGAGATGCGTGCGGCTGATGAGCCCGTCTAGTGTGCTGGTTTCATTGAGCGAAACAAATCGTTTCTGGTAATATGAGGAAGCTAGGGTATTATGAGCAAAGGTCATCTCTTTATACTAAAAACGAAAACGGTGTTTAGCATAATATTTTCGCCAGGAGGCACTTTTTAAATCTGGGGCGAAACAGAAGCTAACCTCTATTTTGGTTTTAATCACTCTGAATAGGTCTTAATTTCGGATTCTTTCATAACTCAACATGTGTCCTACTTTGTAATAGACCATACGCTAATTTGTTTGTAGCTATCATCATCATCATCATACCCGGGAAAGACGCGCCGCCGTGTTGATGGGTTCTTGTCATCTTGTGTCGTGCTCTTTGCGGCGTGGTCTCGCCCTCTTCTAGTAAACTCTTCGTAGTTATTAATTCTTGCGATGGCATCGGACTCAACTCGGGACCTTTCCGAGGTGCTAGAGCTCCCGGGATGGGTTTGTGAATCCGTCCTACGAGTCGAAGACGACCTCCGGCAGGCACAAGCATCGGAGCGGTAGCGGTGGCTCCCTAATCATTCGATTCTCGATACCGTTCCGGGCACGCGCTGAAGGTCTGTCGAAGAGCTAGCGCGAAGCACCAGCCCTTACCTTGCAGCTGCCAAAATGAGATTTTATGCATGCACTCCCGCTTTCGATATTCTTGCTTCAGCGCAAGCGCACTGACGTTCTCGGTGCAGGGGCTGCGCGTGCACGAGAAACGTGCATCTACGGCTGCAGTCGTTCTGCTGTGAGAAGCAACTCGAACGAGGCGTTCAACAAGCAGCGGAACAGATCTAGACGGTTGTAACAAATTGCGATGGCCGGATGGCCGTTCACTATAACAGAATTACGCGCCTATGAAGCTCACCTTGTTTCCGAAGGGATCTTTGTAGCCACTCTGCGTGCATCGCGGAAAACGGCAGTACCGGGGCATATTTCTGGAGCCTGCACCTTCCGCTTCAGCAACGTATACGCAGCCAACGCTGCTAGGACGCTAGGACGCAAGCTGGGGCACTCAGGCGTGTACGGCCAGTACGGCGGAGAACTCCCCTATATGAAGTTCGCACACGGTGATCCAGATGGCGCTATTCATTTTCGCATATGGCCTATTTTTTAGTTAAACAAGTTGTTTCAGGAAACGTTATTTTGCGACATACGTGTTTGATCCAGGCACTTCAAAATATTTTGCAGATTACGGTGTCCCTTTAATGACAGGGTCTTCCATACACCTTAGATGTAGCATAGAATATTGTATTTGTCGAAGAAAAAATCAGTGCTGATGTTTGTGGGTTTGTCGATGCCTTTTGTCGCTCAGAAAATTTTCATGTGAAATAGTGAACCGCGGGCTTTTTCGTGTTTTTTTTTTGTATTTAGTCGAATAATTCCTTCAAACTTTTTCCCAACACAGAAATAACTGAATTAATCAAATTTTTTACAATATGTTCACAAAACGTATGGACTAAGAAACGCTGTTCTCACTATAAAATCCCAAAGACGAAATCAGAGTCAGACAGCTGAAGCGTGTGTTTTTTAAGGCAACGTGTGACGCAGATGACTTTATATTGCATCCAGTGTTTAAATGTTTGTCTATCTGTTAACGATGTCAAAGTTTTTCATATGCTAAAAATAAAACTAAATGATACCTTTCTGAAAAGAGTATTATGGCTAATTTGGCGTATTTTTGTGATCGTGGCGTTACTTGGGGGCATACATTGCTGCGCTTTTTAATACTACTAATAATATTAAAATTAAGATATTTTAACCTGTATATTTTTTAGGCTTTAATATAGTTTGCGGCTTGTGATCTAATTTAAAGCGTGCGAAGATGTATGTCAATAAAAAATGTGCTAATGATCATCTGTGGTGGCAATTGCAACATTTTTAATTACTAAGTTATCAAAAATAGTCTGAGATCAATTAAAACATTCTAGCTAATGGGAGAAGTCCATGTAAAATTGCATTAATTGCGGATAAAGCACATGGTACTATCAAAGTCCCGACTTTCGACAATCGGCGAAATTTCTAAAGTTGCCACCAATAACCTTCCATACCAAATGCCCCAAGATAGAACGAAATCTGATTTCGTTTTTTTTTTTTTTTATTTACCAACATATGTAAAACATTTCGTTACCTTTATTTTTACGTTCCATCGTTTCGAAAGTCAGTTGGAAGGACCACCTACCTGCTTGTATCTCTGCTTACTGCAGCACGTTTTGTTGGCTTTGGAAGCCGGCAAAACCGTAGTTAGTTTTAGTATTGCGTATACAAGCGAACGCAAGCGCTGAGTGTTTGCGTTAGCTTTTAGTGTTTCACATTTCGCGTGCGCGGAGCACAAAATTTCGGTCTTGGATTGACGCATGGAAAAAACGCGCATGCGCAACGTGGAGCACGCAACTCGAACGGAGACACACAGGGCTACCGTTTGCTTCTATACGCAATACTAAAACTCTCTAACAAGATACAATCCCACACCGGCTGCAGCACTACGTTGGGGCAGTGAAGAGCGTTGTTTGCATTTGGAAGTGACATTTCGTGATCCATGATCGCGAGCAGTTCCACCCTGCCCGATGTGCTGGAGGATCGTGGACCCTCACTATAGCGCTGCCCGTTTCTGCGGAGGGGGGACGAGCAACGAAATGGCGACGCGAATAGGACCCTTTTAGCCCTTCAAATTTCTTTAGTCGATCACACCCCTTAGCCCCTCAAACCCCTTTAGTCCTTCAAAGCCTTTCAGCCTGTCAAAGCCCCTCAGTACTTCAGCCCCTTAAACGCCCAAATGACTGTGAACCATAGACTAAAATGCCGTTTAAAACGCTACTGGAAGATTTTTCAGACATTGAGTTTTCCATGCATGCTATGCTGTGTACTTCAATGTAACGCGTACTTCAACCCGGGCGCGAGCAGCTGTCGACAAAAGCGATCTGACTAAACAGGGAAGACAAAGCTGTTTGTAGCGAAAAATATATACCAAGGTGCTAATAATGCTGCTGAGTGAATTCGTCAAATGTACGGTAGTTCAACTCCTAGAAACCGAACAGGTGCAAGACACACACACGCACACACACACACCACGTACACACTCCCGCACACACACACACAGTGTCACCAACACGTTCAGCGAAAACCACCAACACGAAAGAAACATCGGCGGCCGTTACGAAATAACAAGCAAGGTCACGGCGTCGTCCCTGTTGCCATTGCGGTGGTGTATCCGGCGTTGTTTTTGCCCACTGGACGACCTCCTGAAGTCGGTCGTATAAGGAGGCGAATACAACAGGGCACTGAGAGACATTCCCCTTTATCCGCACATTGTGTTGATTTACAGATTCCACGCGTGTGACAGCAAGTCCACCCTGAGAGACCACTCGTCGCGGCAGCCCGATGCAAAATGAACAAGCGGTTTTCCCGAAGCATATATTCTAAAGGGTCACGTGATCTCCCCCACAAATACGTTAAACAATTTTGATAGGTTCCGTGCTTTCACGGAAAAAAATGTCAAGAACCTCAGAGTCATGTCAATATCTATGACGAGCCTCTTGCACCCTTTCATAAATCTTGAAGGGTACGTCAGGTCCATTCAACCGCTTTGACGGACATCTTCAGCCCTCAAAATATTTTTAAGGATATGTTAAATCCTTTGAAAAATTCTGGCGGGCCGCGCGCTTTCCCACGTCTAATTGGTTCAGAATATTGAAAGAACATGGCATGCAAAGAACAACACGTTCTGAATGGTAGTCTGTACATCAGATTCATTTAACTTAAACTTTTTAAATTCGGAATGTGCAGATTACAGAAGAATTGCGGAAAATGGCATCAATATGGTATTATAAAGCGACAGGTTCAATCAAAGTACACTCTCCAAAAACTCAGATAAGTTCAGAAACCTGGTTCTTTCACGTGTGTTGATTGTTTGTCAGGATTTTGAATTTTGTTGCCAACCAAAGAAACTGAATGCACAATTCCAACGATATTCCAGCGACTTCACAAGCAACATGCAGCTTAGAAGGATTGGGCAAAGTTGGCACGCTGTCTATGACAATCAGCACAATGTTTTGATTCTCTCCTTCCTTGGACAGGTAGTCTCCGTCTCTTGGTCTGGACATCGGACACGCTGACTCCCGTCTGGAGCACCTACGGACCTCGAGAGTCGGCTGAGGTCAACGTAAGCATCAGCGCTATCTCCGAGGATTTCCAGGTGAGACAGGGCACACAGCTTGAGGTCTTTTGGTGAGATACTAAGAATCAAAAGAGACGGACAGAAGGGAGAAAAACTACAACAATATATCCTCCACCGGTGCTACCGGTAGACGATAAATTTAAAGGTTTTCAATTTTTGATGTTCACTTCGAATTGCGCTGAGGAGTGACAAAGTTCTTCTAGCTTCTCAGCCAGTTGTGTTTTTGTAGTTTTCGTTTTACGAGCTCCTGAAATAACACAGGGGGCCATAGTGTGTGCATATAGGAAGTGCTGGGTGATCTGTGATTTAATGAAGGTAGCGATGGTGTCAGCACACCCCGGAGAAGCGTGGCGTCTGCCCTTTTCGTTGTGCGGGCGGGTGTGGTGTGCCGTGCCAAGGAACACACCCCAAAACACCGAATCGCTTTACAAAAGGAGTAGTCACTATCTTATTGCTACAACTTAGCAAGCCTGGGCAAGTCTAACAAGCGCATTGGCAGTTGATTCAGGTGTTTCCTCGCGCTATTCTCCTCGGGTTGCATAGCCGTGATCATGGTTTTGACTTGAAGCTCAGAAATGTAAATATTTCATATTTTGTTTTGAAGTAGTCCAGTTTTTTTAAGCAACGTCCCGCTTTTGTAAAGATAGAAAATTGGACTATTATTTTTTATACAGTTACAATATTTAGGCTGCTAAATTGAGTTATTTTTTACCTGCCATCATAATTTCCTTTTCACTTAAGTTCCGAGCAAATACGCAGTCACAAGTAAACGAGTATTGCCGTTAACGATGCGTTCACGTCATGAGCACTGTGTCTGGCGGGGACGCTGACAGCTCGTATATTTATAGGTTATGTCCCCTGATCCCCTGAGTTATGAGACATGACTGTCCCCTGAGACATGTCCCGTGAGACATCAGATATGTCACAGCAAGTACTGCCGTAGCGTCAGGGCTGAGAGAGAGGCGGCGGTCTTTTTGCAGCTGGTATTCGAGGCTCGCCCCAGTCGCAAGGAAATCACTGGCCTCGTAATCGATGATGTCCGCCTGGAACTTTCCGAGTGCTACGTTGCCATGGCCACGGAGGACGTCCCGACGACCATCGTTGCAGACTTCGGTCAGAACGAAACTTCTACGAATAAAGAAGAGTTAGGTGAGAAAGTGGGGGTGAACCCCTCCATTAACCCCTCTGCACTTGAAAGTGAACGGCGATTTTGAAAGTCTCCGAGTGGCAACCTACCTGTTGGTATGGAACCTCAGGGGGCTCTGAGTATGCTGTTTTTTAGACTGACGTGTGCTGCTACCGATGAGGCTTCAAGGAGATTCCCACCTACATTCTTTATGCGAGCCTTATCTACCGTGGTTATTTGTTCGAACAAGCACCACTCTTAAAGGTAAGAAACCTCAGGGGGCTCTGAGTATACTGTCTTTTAGACTGACATGTGCTGCTACCGATGAGGCTTCCAGGAGATTCCCACAAACATTCCTTATGGGAGCCTTATCTACCGTGTTTATTTGTTCGGACAAGCATCACTCTTAGGTGCTGATGTAGAAGCTATGGCATATTGTTTCTTTGGCTTAAGTCAATATAAATCACCAGTTCTAGATGGCAAAATGTCCTAGTAAACTCACAGCAAGAGAAATACACAGGAATGCTCAGGTGCCCACCACTTCTATTAAATTTGACCAATGAAAGCAGTTAATTGCGTGGAGATTCTAGCCTTGCTTTTTTTGGGTGCGTTGTGGATTATATAATGACGATATCGTCAAATCTTTGAATGTAGCAGACGTAATACAGCAATTTTTTTTTATTAAAAACGTCTTCCGACGGCACCTCATGTTGTCTGCTCCATGACGCAGAAAGGGGCGTTTCCCGATATTGTTTAGATTTTGATAGAAAAATCGGCACCCCCCCCCCGCTAATAAGTTTACTTTCTGAATTATTAGGATGCCGAGAGGCCGGAGATTGAGTTATCAACCTAAATAGACGATCTCAAAGTCTATTTGAGTGCACTTTAAGGTTTGTTCATCTAGAAATCAGCCAAGGTAAAAACAGGGCTTAAATCGACGTTCGCTCTTGCTCCCCGTGTTATAGATAAAACAATTCAGCAGTTTCGTCATTCATAGTAACGTCATCATGTTTAAAACTGCTTGCATCATTTGTTCGTTCAACAAACTGAAACGTATTCAAAATAAGTACGTCGGAAAGCGTATCATGCCATCCTATAGTTTTTTTTTTGTATATTGGTTGGTCATATTGATTTGATTTCGTTAGGGATGGTATGATTCAAAACCTTAGTGTACCTCGGACTGAGCTCTACTACGTTTCTATTCTGTCCCTTGATCTCCCCCTCTGCTGACTGGACTTAATCCTCATAGCGCTCCGTCATCAGAAACTGCCCCGACGAGCTCTCACCAGCTGCTGCATTTACAAGGCCATAACTGTCTCACTCAATTATATCATTGTGGCTTTATGATTGGGCTTCCCTGTTTATCCGTCACAAAATCAAAGCTTAGTCTCAACTTATTTGACATCGTTCTAATACGGGCATAGGGGATCCCTCTAATACAGGTTTAGGACATGGTTCTAATACGGGCTTATGGCTTTCTTTGCAAGTACTTGCAATCACTACGTCACTTCGGAGTTTGCGACGAGGGCATAAGTATTCACCTTCATGCCACATTTAGACTTGCCGGCACAACTCCAGCTAGTCTCACACATAGACTCTCACAGTCTCTAAAAGTCCCCAGGAGGCCTCTATCGAACTTCTCTCAGGCGCCTTCAGCTGTCCCCCAAAACCATCACGATTCCTTACATTGAACGCTACATATGAGTCTCGAGGAGCTGATCAGCGCATGCTGACATAGGATCCTTTACACTACTTCAATGGCACCGCAATAAACCAAAGACAAGGCAAAAAAAAAAGGCGCACACAACACCGAGATGGTGTTGTGTACTGCTTGTTCTCCGGTTTATTATGTTGCCTAGTATTCGTGAGCTTACCTGCGCCCTCGATCGTCTCTCAGACAACTTGAGTGTTAACAAATGGGCAGCCCAGCATGCAATCCCTTTGCTCGGTGATTGATTCTTGAGCGTTCGTATGGACCAATGCCGGAATACCATTGGCTACGGGTCGATCTCGACATGCTCACAACTTGCAACGCCTCGCGCTTTTGACTTTATTGAACGCTAGTTCCATCCGAACGGCGACATTGCACTTGCTTCTAGTATGAGACCATACACTAAGGGCATATGACGGGATAGTTGGTTGTACATTAAACAAGCAAAGGTAACCCATAAGACATGTGTCAGCACTCGCCCGTGTCTGCCTTCGACTTGACCTCATGTTTTGCGCTACCTTTATGTGTGGTATGTGATCATACTTCGTTTCACATTAAAGGGACACTGACAGGGTATTTATGCTCGCTAAGGTTTTTATTTGTACATGCCACATGAGAGCCCAACTGCCCGAAACACAGCTTGCGGCGCGAAATGGTTTTTTTTTTTTTTGTTTTTTTTTTCCCCGACCGAAAACCGCCGATTGAGAACTAGCCGGTTTGAGTCGCGCTCATTTTCTTCTCCGAGGTCACGTGCCATTTTCTATGGTTTAGACACAACCACCAAAGATAATCATAGTCGGTGTTCATTGAAGGCACACACTCAATAATACGAAAACAAAATCAATGTGATACCCTTTTTTTTTTTTTTTTTTTTGTGGCGACTAAAAGAAAAAAAAGAAAAACAGTTGCATGGCCACGAGACTTTCGCCAACTTTTTCCATCTCTATATCTTGTTTCTCCCCTGTCGAGTTTAGGTTTCGGTTTACAGCAAGTGCGTTTTTTGTTTACTTTATTAAAAATATACGGTACGCTGTAGCAAAATATTGTTCGGGTAGTCTTCTAACAACACATTAAATCACCTTGCAAAAAAAAAAACATTTTGGGGGTGTTAGTGTCTTTTTAAGTCTAGACGCAGCCGACTCTACAATCTGATAAGACAAATCTAAGGAGGTATATGGGCTTAGAGCGATAAACTTGTATCCGCTTCACCAGAGAAAAATCTCCCCCGTCTACAGCCATGTTGTTGAATTTTTGACCACTAGACATGTGACCGTACTAAATCAGGCTTTCACGCAAAACTGAGCCGAGATTTGTATCGGTGTAACAACATGATAAACTATTTTTCGATACTGTTAGCCCCCGAGATGAGTGTCTAGATTCCATAAAAACCCAAAATACAGCACTGCAGTTAACGGCATCTAGCGGAGCCATTGCGAAGCTGCCCGAGTTTTGGTCGTAAAAGTCTATTTTAAACAAACGAAATGTAACTTGTATCCTCAGTACTGCTATTAAAGCTCAATAAGCAATTATCCGTGCGCGATACTTTGTTGAAATCTAGCCGTAAAACTATAAGGTAACGTATTTATATCCAAATAGTGCAACATGGCGGCAACCGGTAGTGTGGCAGTTTCACCTGGCAGTCTATTGCTCTAAGCCCCTCTATCTGGTTGTACCAATCAGACTGCGTGAAATGCGCACCACCATGGCGTTCCTCAAGTACGTGTTCTATCATCTCCGAACCAATCATAAACTGCAAAGACCTAGTTACACGCGCTTTTGACACTGCTTATTTGGTCCTATTACCCCGAAGTTTCGGCAGCGTCTGTACTTAAGCTGAAACAAAATATTGATGAGGTAGGTGAGGTAATACTTCGACACTACGGCTTTTTACAAAGGCTGTGTTGACTCGCTTCATGTGTGCGACCAGAGAAGGACGCGGTGTTAAGCGCGTGAACTTTCCACATACAGGTTGTGCGCAATGGATCCCTGCGATCTGAAACAAGCCGGAAAAATCTGCACCTTCTTATGGAAAGCTTAGACTTCCGCGAACGTGCACCGAGGTGGCGGATTTAGCTGATGAAAGTTGAAGGCATCGCTCCCTTCGTGTAAAAAATGACCCCCAAAACGTTCAAAGTTATCAACAAACCGGTTCGCAGTCGACTGAGGTAGCAATGCTTGTGACGTGTTGCGCCGTTTCCACAGGGGCGCAGCGTGGAGATGACGATTCTGCTCGTTCCTATGCAAACATGTTCAACGATTGCCTTACGGCATTGGCAAGCGCGATTTTACGAAGTCTCGCACGACGGAGCTCTCGAGTGTTGTCAGACGGCGCTTGTAAAGGTGGCATGGAAGGTCGGGGTGCTCAATATGTAAGGAAACCTACAATAAGAAGAATTACCGTGCGCTGCAGAAACAAAATACGCCTCGCCGAATCATTTTCTGTTAAATTATTTTTTTTGCTGTAGGTCCGAACCGGAATGCCAAAGTTTCAGAGTTAACCTAAACTTTTCAATCGGAAAATGAGGCTCATTCTTGATAACTGACGACATTCAGCTCCATGTATTCGAGTGCCCTGCTAGCCATCGTGTTCTAGGTTGAAATTTAAAAATAAAATTACTTATAGTTTCTGTTACGGCAACAGTTAGTTTTGAAATCTTTAACGTATAGTTCTGACCACTAGCGCTCAGAGCTGGCCAAATTACTCATATTTTGTAATTAAATTACATTACTAATTACTTTGCTGAAAATTGCTGAAATGTAATTAAATTACATTACAAATTACCACAGCCAGAAAGTAATTAATTACCATTACAAATTACTTTTAAAAGTAATGACATTACTTTCGCATTACTTTTGTATACTTTTAAATATAAAGGAGCTATTGATAACTTCCTTTTACAGATAACTCTATTTACATTATTTACACAGTTCATCGCACACAGCTAGAACTCTCTGGTGCATGTTTACCGATGGACAGAGGAACGCACGCGACTGATCCGTTTCCCACCCCAACCCGGACAACTATTTTTGGGGATGTTTGAGGACCCTACGCGGATTATCCCTGGGAGGGGGGAGAACAATTGTCATTGTTCGCAAAATCGCGTCGAGGGCCGTTCCACCAGGGGCCTTAGTTCGACCTACTTCCCCTCCTTCGTTTCCCGAGAATGTCGAGCAGAAAAGCTCGAATAGAAGGCACTTACCAGCCCTATTTCTCACAGTGGAAGATAACACAGAGAGGGTACGCAGTATGCATCAGAAAAAGTAAGCGGAAACTTTCAAGAGGGGCCAGAAAACGTCGAATGCAAAACCGCGAAACATAGGTAGAGAATCGCGCTGAGCGGGTTTTGACAGTTCAAGAGAGTGGCAGAAAATGTCTA